GGGGTTCTATCTCATGCCATTCTTAGGGCCCGGTTGTCGATAGGATTCCAGTCATGCAGCCTACGCGCGGGACGAGAGCGAAGCAGAGTCGTCGATCTGCCATAATCGACTGGATTCTGGCCACGGCGGCTATGTTGATCCCAGGACAGTCCTGTTATTTATCTCATTCAGTCCGCTGATCGGCTGACTCGCGCTCTTTGCTTTCTTCTCTCTCTCCCTCCCTCCCTCTGTCTGTCTTTGTTCCCACCTCTGGACTGTGGGAAGACCTTCCTTCTCCTTCTTCTACCATACACTCTCTTGACTCTCATTGTTCACTTTTCCCAGGACACGTCCGGGAAAATCTGGGACGAGGCTCTATTGTAGTTGTTGTATGCTCATTTTGCAATCACCACTCGCTCCTTGTGTCAGGTGTGAATTGTTTAGCTCTGTTCGGAAGGGAGCAGACTCCGTCACGGCTCTCGATTCGCTCGCTCGCGACCGTCATTCGGACGTCCAAGGTTCTGCACGGGTGCACCGACGAATATCAGACGGGAAAGGTTCTAAGTTCTAGGTAAGTGCTGACTGACGACTGGATCTAGTCAGATGCTTGGTTGGCCTGGAACTGGTCATCATCCCACTGCAATCTGCCGGAGTGGCTCTGGAGTGGCCCGGGTGGCTCCAATCAGAGTAGGAAAGTGTACTGACTGGCTCGTGTAGTCTTGTTGCGAACGTTTCAACCCCTGAGCCAGGCGTTTCACGCGTGCCTTGGTCAAGGTTTATTGGAGGCTAAGAGTCAAGTACTTGAGGGGGTGCCGCGGTGCCACCGGTGCTTTCTGCCACTCACTGTCCGTCTCGGCCAATCAAGCCAGGGCGGTAATCGGGCGCTACTGTTATTGTGGATTCAGTTTCCCAGTGTTAGTGCTGTTAGTGCTGTTAGTGCCAGGAGTGGAGAGTCGTGATCCTGCCTAAGGCCACTAAGGTTTAATCAGTGCCTGGAAGGACCCGCGCCGCAACGGAACCAGCGCCAGTCCATCTCGGGGTCGAGCCAGTCTTTTAATCTACTGATTGTCCCTCCTGCAGCTCGTGGTTCTTCACAAGCCGGCTTGCTTTCTGTTTCTTGCTCCCCTTCGCTCCCTATTCTCTTCATTTGTGTTCCTTCCTCCTGCAGTGTGTGTGTCACACGGTGTGAGATCCTGTGTTCAGTGCCTGCAGGTATTTGGCTACAACAGTGTTTGTGTGTTGTCGCATTCATTCATTGAATTATCCTTTGATCTTTCCTTCATTCTACTTACACTCTGCTTGGCCTACCATTCGTTGGTCATTCCCCTCTTCCTTCTGCTTTTTACCCCGGTTTTCAGTTCGGGGAAGCTGCAAAAAGTCTCTCCTTCTGACTGGGTCTTGTGACGAATATCGCTTCGTCATCCGATCTCTGCTTTGATTTTTGGTTCAGCACCGGTTGCTGAACTGTCTCATCGTTTCCCGGCCTGCCAGTCAGCCAGGTATATTACTGTCCTACTCCACACGTTCGTTGTCTCTGCAGGCTCAGTGACAGACATCTACAATCTCGACCATGGCTGTCTTAAACACATTTGTCATGCTCTTCGCAGCCCACGTGCTGCTGTTGCTCGGCCTTCCGGCCGGGCTAGTCTCTGCTGTCCCCATGAAGGGGGACTTGGAAGCCCGTGGGGAGCTGAAGGCTCGCGACTCGACCTACTGGGTGGCTGATATTACACGTCAAGGAACTGTGCCCTTTGGCAACAGCTCGAGCTACCAGATCTTCCGCAATGTCAAAGACTTTGGTGCCACTGGTAGGTTGAAGGTGTTTTGACGATCAGGAGACTGTTTGCTAACAGGCAACTCTTAGGTGATGGTTCTACTGATGACACTGATGCTATCAACAAGGCGATCTCCTCCGGCAACCGGTGCGGCCAGGGCTGCGATTCCTCGACTACCACTCCGGCTCTTGTGTACTTTCCTCCCGGCACATATGTTGTCTCCACGCCCATTGTGCAGTACTACTACACCCAGCTGGTCGGCGATGCCAATCAGCTGCCTGTGCTAAAGGCGTCTGCCGGCTTCACTGGTATGGCTGTGATTGATGCGGACCCCTACACCAACACTGGCGCCAATTGGTATACAAACCAGAACAACTTCTTCCGTGCCATCCGCAACTTCGTCATTGACCTCACCGCCATGCCCCAATCCTCCGGTGCCGGTATACATTGGCAGGTTGGCCAAGCAACCAGTCTGCAGAACATCCGGTTTGAGATGATCAAGGGAGGAGGTGACGCCAACAAGCAGCAGGGTATTTTCATGGACAATGGTTCCGGCGGCTTCATGTCTGATTTGACTTTCAACGGTGGTAACTATGGTGCCTTCCTGGGTAACCAGCAGTTCACGACCCGCAACCTGACTTTCAATGACTGCAACACTGCCATCTACATGAACTGGAACTGGGCGTGGACCTTCAAGTCGGTGACTATCAACAACTGCGGTGTCGGTCTTAATATGTCCGCTTCTCCCTCGAACCAGACTGTTGGCTCGGTCTTGATGCTGGACAGCAAATTCACCGGCACTCCAATTGGTATCGTCACTGCTTTCAGCTCTGACAGTATCCCCACCGGTGGTGGCGCTCTCGTCCTCGACAATGTTGATTTCACTGGTTCCAGCGTCGCGGTGGCCAGTGTTTCAGGCAGCACCATTCTGGCAGGTGGCTCTGTTATCGACAACTATGTTCAGGGTAACGCGTACACGCCCTCCAGCACCCTCAAGAAGCGCTCGCCGGCTGTCGAAGTCATTGTCGAAACGATCACCACAACCATCGAGGTTTGTCCTGCCGATTACACGACCGGATCCGTAGCCTCCGCCTTCCACACAGCTGCTACCGAAGCTACCCTCAATGGTGCCGAGGCCACTGCTGCCACTGACCGTCGCCCCCACACAGGTAGCACCTGGGGCAGCTCGGAGAGCACTGCGACCGGCCAGTCCTGGCCTTCCGTGGTGGAGACATCCGCATCGCAGCCGACTAGCTACCAGTCTAGCTCTGATGCCGAGGAGACTTCTCCCGCGGGCGGCTCATCCGAGTCAACTGCCCAACAATCCTCGCCTGCCGGCGAAACTTCAGCATATGGCTCTCAGTCAAACTCGGGTGCGCAGCAATCCTCTCCCGTTGGTGGATCTTCTGGTTCGAGTGCCCAGCAGTCCCCTGCTGGCGGCTATTCTAGCAGCTCCACCCACGTTCAAGGCTCGTCGGCTGCTGTTGCTTCGTCCGCGGCCGCCACCTCTGCTCATGCTTCTGGATCTTCCGGCTCTGGTACCTGCGCCTACAAGACGGTCACCAAGACTCGCCTTGAGACCACAGTGGCATCTCCAGCTAAGCCTAGTGCCCTCTTGAACAGTGACGGTTCCCTGTTCGAGAAGTCCAAGCCCTTGTATGAAGACTACGCTGCTTCCTCTTTCATCAGTGTCAAGTCTGCCGGTGCGAAGGGTGACGGCTCTACCGACGACACCGCTGCCATTCAAAAGGTCCTTGACTCGTGCACAGACGATCAAATTGTCTACTTCGACCACGGTGCCTACATCATCACTGATACCATCAAGGTCCCCAAGAATGTCAAAATCACCGGTGAAATCTGGCCGATGCTGATGGCGTATGGTGACAAGTTTTCCGACGCGGAGAACCCTATCCCCATGCTCCAGGTCGGCGAGGTTGGCGAGAGCGGCTCCGTCGAAATCAGCGACCTCATTGTCGAGACCAAGGGTCCTGCTCCTGGTGCCATCCTCATCCAGTGGAACCTCAATGCTGACTCACAGGGCTCGGCGGGTATGTGGGATGTTCACGCTCGCATCGGTGGATCCGCAGGCACTGAACTTCAGAGCGACACCTGCACCAAGACCCCCGACCAGACCACCACCCCCAACTCGAACTGTGTTGGCGCTTTCCTCCTCTTCCACGCTACCGAGCAGTCTAGCGTTTACCTCGAGAACACCTGGTTCTGGACCGCGGATCACGAACTCGACTTGGCAGACCACAACCAAATCAACATCTACAATGGCCGTGGTGTCCTCCTCGAGACTCAAGAGTCCGCCTGGTTGTATGGTACCGCCTCCGAGCACAACCAGCTTTACAACTACCAGGTCTCCAATGCCAAGAACGTCTTTATGGGCCTCATCCAGACTGAGACGCCCTACTACCAGGCGAATCCCAATGCCCTTACTCCTTTCACTCCTAACACCACCTGGAACGACCCTGATTTCTCGTACTGCACCAGCGACTCATGCCGCAAGGCTTGGGGTCTTCGTGTTCTCAGCAGCTCGGAGACTTATGTCTACGGTGCGGGTCTTTACAGTTTCTTCGACAACTACTCGCAGACGTGTCTCGACACAGAGTCCTGCCAGGAGAACATGGTGGAAGTGGACTGCTCCGATGTGCACATTTATGGTCTCAGCACCAAGGCCAGTACCAACATGGTGACTTCGGCCAGTGGAGAGACGCTGGTGCCTCAAGAGGGCAACGAGAGCAACTTCTGCTCGACGATCGCGTTATTTGAGTTCTCGTCTTCCTAGACGCATCCTGTGTTCTTTTTAAATTCATTTCGTGGTTTAGTCGAGTGAGTTTTGTCTCTTTTCAGTCCTCTGTAACTTGCGCTGATGGTAGCGGCAGTTGAAGCGCACAAATTGGCTTAGGGGAGTGGTTATGTGCTAGATCTGAAGATAAAGAGTTGATGGGGTGACTGTCGATAGATACCATTTTGTTCACTTTAGTTAGACTGAATTAAAATAATACATGGTCGCCATTCCACCTTCTGCATCTTGCATATTGTGCCTGACTGTACTTCATACTGTAAATCCCAACAGCCTAACCGAGGAGGGCGGACCGACGGCCGAGGCTTTTCTTTTCCCCAGATTCTCCCCGCATGTTGTCGACTCCCGCCTTCTCCTTCTCTTGACAACCACCATATTTGTCCGTTCCTTTTCAACTCGACCTTCAATTATCAAATACAACTTATCTAATTCTAGCTATGTCTTATAAGGATATTTCTCACCGCAAACAACTTCGACTGGAGGCGCAGATCCCACATCAGTGGCGTCTGGAAGCTTCGCAGATTCCACCCGGCCTGCTGTCTCCGGCCGACTCAATCACGAACACAAGCCAGTATGAAGCCATCAATGTCATGGACATTCCTCGGACATGCGGACTTCTCACCCCAGATGAGTTGCATATTACCGAGCAGTACGATGTACGCTCCTTGCTGGATGCCATTCGTGAGAGGAAGTTGACTGCGAAGGAGGTAGTCCACGCCTTTTGCAAGGTAATGCTCTAATCCCGTGCTACCCTCTCTCACCATATTCTCACTCCAGGCACTTGCAGCGAGCCGCAATTGCACATCAACTCACACGTTGCCTCACGGAGCCTGTCTTCGAGCAAGCCCTTCAGCAAGCTCAAAAGCTCGACGACCATCTCCAACGCACCGGCCAGCCCATCGGTCCCCTACACGGCCTGCCTGTTTCCATCAAAGATTCATTCCATCTCACCGGCGTAGACTCCACCACTGGCCTCGCTGCCCTAGCCTTCCACCCAGCAGCCCAAAGCGCTCCGCTCGTCAACCTCCTCGCCTCCCTGGGCGCTATCATCATCGCTAAAACCAACGTCCCGCAGACCATGGGCGCCCTCGACTCCTGCAATCACCTGTTTGGCCGGACGCTTAATCCGCTCAACCGTCGCCTGACCGTCGGCGGTAGCACGGGGGGTGAGGCGGCCCTGCTCGCAATGCGCGGGTCGATGGTCGGCTTTGGCACCGACATTGGCGGTAGCATCCGGATTCCCGCCATGTGCACCGGGCTGTACGGATTCAAGCCCAGTGCCGGGCGCGTGCCGATTGCAGGAAGTCAAGAGGCAGGAAGCATGGCCGGCAAGGGAAGGGTCAGTCTCCAGCCAGTAGCTGGGCCTCTGGCCCGCTCGGTCGCAGATCTGGGGGTCGTGATGGCCGAGATCGTGCCTCGGACGGAGCTCTTTAGTGAGGAGGGGATCCCAGGCAGATGGTTTGATAGTAGCGTGCTTGGTCGTCCTGGACTGGCTGGAGGTTCTGTCGACACTCAGCTTCAATCTCCCTCTGGCAAACGCAAAAGTTTCACCATCGGGATCCTCCGTCGCGATGGGCTGGTCGAGCCTCTTCCACCTGTCGCCAAGGTCATCGACGAGGTAGCACATTTACTGCGCAAGACGCCTGGAGTCAGGGTCGTGGAGATCCCTGTGCCTCCTGCTCTGAGCAAATGCCAAGGTATTGCCGGTCGCCTGATGGGGGTGGACGGGGGCAACCCGATGATGGATCTGCTGGAGAGCACCGGGGAGCCCTTGATACCCTGGCTGAAGGGCCGGATGAAGCGGGGTCGGGAAATGACGCTCGCGCAGGCAGGTGAGTTGCAGGCACAACGGGCCCAGGTTGAGCGGGAGATGCTGCAAATGTGGACCTCTCGCGGGGCGACACCAGCTACAAGTTATACTCGAGACATTGATGCGATCATTCACCCGGTCGCGCCGCATCCAGTGCCGGAATTGGATCGGTACAATGCGGTTGGGTATACTTCGTCCTGGGTGCTGCTTGATTACCCGGCGGGCACAGTTCCCGTGCGCTCGTTCAAGGAGGAGGATCTGGAGCTGGGGACGGAGATGACGGCACCGGTTCTGGGGAGCTGGGATAAGGCTAATCGGCCGCTATGTATGTTTCTTCTTCGATTCTTTTTTCTATGGGATTCTAATGGTCAACAGGGAACCAGAAGACTGTGGATCGCCGAGTGTACTTGGGTTCGCCGCTGAGTGTGCAGGTCATCACACCCAAGCAGCGTGACTACGAGCTCCTCCAGGCCATGGAGTTGATTGATCGAGTTGTGAGGGGAGATGCGCAAGTTCCTGCCATGCTTTGAACAACATCGATAGAGCCGTTCAACCTTGTTTGGGCTATTAAACTAATACCTCGACACGTCCCTGCCAAAGAGGTGATTCAACATCCAGCGAAACGCAACTCGGACCTTATTTCTCCAGCTGATGCTCATGGTCAGATACGCCGAGTTCCACACCAACCAAGCGGTCCGACCCTTCAGCCCCTCTGGGAGGTACTTATGGTGCTCTCCATTTTCGTGCGGAATCTGTAACAGGGCGTTCGCGTTTCCAATGTAGGCCAAGGTGCCCATGTTGCGGAAGGAGAATGGGGCCGTAGGCTGCGAATCTCCCCGGTTGAGACGATTAGCTAGCCACTTGGCCTCCTGGAAGGTCGCCTGTGCCGTCGCTGGTGGTGCGCCTTTCTCTGGCATGGCGTTGTCCCCCAGGGCAAACACATCTTGCAGCACTACTGTGTCCCCACTCTCGTTCTCCAGCTGCACGCGCAACTGCTCATCGACCAACAGCGCTCCGACTTTCGGCGCCTTCTTGACATGCCACGCTGACCGTTGCACGACGTCCTCACTCGGTCGACCGCTCCCATCCTTGAGCAAAGCTGACTCGATTGGGAATGCTTGGACGTCGGCCAAGGCGTCTCGAACGAAAGGATTCATTGCGTTTCCCGTCGCCCAGACACACATACCTACGCCGACCTCGCCCTCCTCCTTCGTAGTCAGAGTCAAACACCGCTTAGGATCCATCTCGGTGGGCGCCTTCTCCCCCGGGGCGCCCCATCGCAACCCCTCCACATGATGTGAAACCTTGATGTTCACCCCTTCCTTCCGCATCGTATCCATGGCATATTTCGACAGCGACTCATCGAACATCGACAGCACCGTTGGTGCCACATCATACAGCGAGAGTCTTGGAATGCCCTTCAACGAGGGATACAGCGCCATGAGATCCGCGGAGATGAAATCCCGCAGTGCCGCGGCCAGCTCCGTCCCGGTGGGCCCCGCGCCAACGATGGCGAAATGCAGCAGCCAGCGCCGCATTTCCGGCGAGGTGGTGGGCAAGACGGCCAGCTCGAAGCATTCGCGCACGCGGCGCCGCACGCGGCGCGCATCGCCCACATCCTTGAAGAAGAAGGCGTTCTCGCGCACGCCGGGCGTGCCGAAGGTCCTGCTGACGGTGCCGACGGCGATGACCAGCTTGTCGTAGGGGACCGCGAACGTCTCCCCTTTCTCCCAGGTGCGCGGGGGGGATGCTTGGGGGGATGGGGATTCGCCGTCATCGGTGCGTGGGGACTCGGTCACCCCGCTCTTGACGACGGTGGCCTCGCAGATGACGGTCTTGGAGGCGAAGTCGACGGCGCGGGCGGCGGCCTGGATGAAATCGACCTTGGCGTGGCGGTCGCGCACGGGCTCGACGATGTGCGAGAAGTCGAGGGAGCCGCCGGCGGTGTCGGTGAGGAGTGGGGTGAAGACGAAGTAGGAGCGCGGCGAGATGATGGTCGGGGTGAAGTGGGCGGGGGAGAGCTTGCGCGAGAGGTTGTATCCTCCCCAGCCGGAGCCGAGGATGACGACTCGGGGCTTGTCGGGGTTGGGGACTGGGGTTGGTTTATTTGAGGTATGTGTTGCTAGGGGTCTGGCTGTGGCTGTGGGTGTGTTTGTTGATGTGAGTCTAGGTGAAGCTGTAGTCGATCGGGCATGCTTGTCAACTCGTGGTCTGCTAGAGAGCAGCGATATCGACCTTCCTCTTGCCTGGCCAATACTCAAGGTTGAGGATGATGTCCAACTCTGCAGTCTAGCAGGGGCCCTACCCCCAAAGGATGATGATAAAATCCGTCTCATGTTGTATGTCCAGTCCGCACACAGCGATTGTACAGGACCTGCGCTCGACTAAACTGAACCCGACCTATCACCAGAACCACATGAATAAAAACCACAACCCCCATCCAGACACCCCAGCTTATATACAAGAAAGGTATCTCGGTGTGTATCGGAACCCAAACCTTCTACTCGGATTGACACATGATGAGATCATCCCTTTTTCCTTTCTCCTTTCCCTAGGCAGCTTCCATCCATGGAACCAGAACTCCCGAGCCCGTGGGCCCCTCAGGCTCCACCATTCTCTTGAAACATCCGAGTCCCGAGACAAGATCGAAGAAGAAGAAATGAAAAAGATCCCTATTCCTTCCGCTTCCGCTGGCTTGCAAGAATGAAAGGCGTGCCGGTGAGAATGGTGGAGGTTCTTTGACTCACCGAGCTCGGTTGGGATCGGGGATCGGAGGCGTTCGGGAACGGGATGGGTTTAGGTTTTGGGTCGGTGGGCGGTGGGTGGTGGGCGGTGGGTCATTGTAGTGTAGTTTGGTGTATACAGTGAGTAGTTCGGTACTTGGGTTGGTTTCGGAGGTGGATGTGGATCACATGGGGTTTGAGAGGGTGAGGTTGTTGTGTTGTGGTTGTGCTTGGGTTTGTGGTGATGGATGCATGGCTGAGGATGCAGGCATGAAGGACAGCACTGTACTGTACTGTACTGTGCTGTACAGTTTAGTTGACAGGGGGTTCGACTAGTTACCTAATTAGGTAGTCGATATTGCTTACCTACTAGGTACCATGTGTTTGTCCTGTATGATAGCATGTAGTCTCATGCATGCATGATGGATGTGATATTGACCTCAAACTTCCTTACTCTAGCTATTCTACTCCGTACTGTACTGGACATACACCCAATCTTCTTATTTCGTTGACATCCCATTAAGATTCCAAGTGGCTCTCTCTACAAAGAACCCCTCAACCAGCCGTACCCATCTCCCCAGCAGCAAACCATGACCCTCAACATCTCCCCCGACGATGTATGCTGGGCCCAAGCCGAAACCATCTCCGACACCTGGCTCCTCCAGTTCCTAGCAATTGACATCCTGCGGCCCATCGCAGACTTCATCCTCCAGCACAACCGCGGCAACGCCACCGAATTCGCCATCCTCAGGACAGGCTCCTACAACATCTCTCTGCGCCTCCAGTACGAACCCCACGGCGCCACCGTAATCCGATTCCCGCAGCCCGGCGCCGTGCTCTTCCCTGAAGAGAAGGTCATACACGAAGTATCAGTCATGCGCTTCCTCACCGACCAGACCACCATCCCCGTTCCATTCATCCTGCACTCAGGCACCAAGCAAGAGAGTCCCCTCGCATTGAGCCCATTCATCCTGATGGAGTACCTCGAGCACGAGACAAAACTGTACGACGCGCTCAACACCCCGGGTCTTCCCAGGGAGCAGCGCGGGGTGCTCGACCCCGACATCACACAGGAGAAGCTGGAGAGGCTGTACGCCCCGATGGCCGACGTCCTCCTACAGCTGTCCCTCCCCGCCCTCCCGCGCATCGGCTCGCTCAGCCAGCGGGACGACTTCACCTGGGAGGTGACGCGTCGACCGCTGTCGATGAACATGAACGAGCTCGTCCGTCTGGGCTGTCTACCTCGCTCCCAGCTCCCGAGCATCGACACGACCTTCCCCACCGCCTCAGCATACGTGCAGTCCCTGGCGGATGTGAATCTGGACCGTCTGCTCCACCAACGCAACGACGCAATTGGGAGTTCACGTACGCTGCGCCGGTGGAGTTCTGCCACGCTCCGCCGGGGTGGCTGCTGATCGAGCGGCCCGAGGAATGGGCCGGGGGGATCGAGGCGTGGAGTCGGGTGTTCGAAGCCCGGCTGCAGACGTCTTTGAGGGTGATGCGCGAGTGCGAGGATCGAGAGATTCAGCGGGGCCGGTTTTACGAGGGGCAGAGGCTCTCCGGGCCGATGGAGAAGAGCTGGGAGAGTGGGGATTTCTGGGTCATGTATGCGCTGCGCAATAGCTTTGCGTTTGATCTGGTGTATTGGCTGGAGATTGATGAGAGGTTCTTTGGGGACAGTGGACGAGGGGCGGACAGGGCGTGGGAGAAGAGGGTTGGGTTGTTGAGTGAGAAGGAAAGACGGGAGATGGAACTGCTGGTGACGATGAAGATGGCGGAGAGGGGGAGTCGGCCTCTTGTGTGGGATGCGGATGAGTATACTTGGGCTTTTCAGCGGAAATTGGACAGACGGAGGGATGGAGATGGGGGAGGGAAGGATGAGGTCGGGGGTGGTGGGACTGGGGCTGATGGGATGGATTCTCGCTAACCCTCAAGGCGATGGATGTCTCTCAGAACTCTCCCCATCCAAAGCACCCCCCAACTCCTCCTACAAGCAAGCAAGTCGTCCTACAAAGGCGTGCTGTGCTGTAACCGGAAACCCAAACAACGAACTATGCCTCTATCCCATCCTACACATCAGCAAACCAAAGCCCAACATCACACAAGCAGAATTCATTGCTCGCCCTCACTTGGAGACGGCACCAAGGAGAATGCTAATTCTCATCACCGTCGCAATAATCCGGATCCTTGTCACGATCATCGTCATCACTATCGGGATAATCCTGATCCTCATCACTACTGACATCCCTGTCCGGAAAGAAGAATTCCTCATGCCCCCGCGAATTGTGAAACTTCTTGGTCCTTCTCTGCTCGTAGTCCTGCTCCTCAAGATATCTATCACAGGCATCCTTCCCATTGTCGTCCTCTTCCTCGTCCTCGTCCTCGTCCTCCTCGTCCTCTTCGTCCTTCGCCTCTTCGTCCTTCTCCTCCTCCTCCTTCTCCTCTTCCTCCTTGTCAGGATCCTCCCCCCTGATACTGAGTTTACCAAACCCGTAGATCCAGTCGTCGGAAGACACCATTGTGTCTGCTTTGCTGATCTGGGGGAGATTGTTTTCGTGGAGGGTTCAATCAAGTCGTTAAGTCGCGAGAGAGAGAGAGGTCTATCCAAGAGAATCTAGATAGCAAGCCGCTTCGCAGAAAAGTTTTTGTGAAGACGGGACGGGACGTTTGGTTCGTTCCGTAGAAAAAGCTGATTTCTTTCGCGAGGTTCGTTCCCTTTTGCAAAGAATCAAAACTTGACAAGGAGGATCGGGCCAGTCTGTCTTATATGAGCAGTTGGCGTTTCTGGGGCGGAAACCTGTCTTCTTGCTTTTTATTTTGGACCCGTTATTTGGGCATTGCTGATGGATGCCAATCAAGTCGAACGCCCGTTTGCTGCGCGTTTGCGCTGTTTGGTGGGTTTTTGGTTTGTGGTGGTGTCTGTCTTTCTTCACGGCTGGGGAGAGGTTTGTTTGCTGGATTTTTTCGAGAGGTGTGCGTAAATGCTGTAGAGGCCCTCCTGTTTGTGATGATGGGGAAGAGTACACTGGAGCCTCATAGAGAGAATTAGAATCAAGGGAGATGAAGAGGCAGGTAGTAGACATTGGAGCAGATCGTATCCTCGAAATTGGAATGAGGGTGTACTGTACATTCCAGATACGTCTAAATAGAATATGCAGCATAATCTATGACTGTCTATCAAGGTACTACATATAGAATATCCCGAGATCGCACTATGAAAACTACTACTATAACTCCTACGAGTTATCAACTCCTCCTGAGTCGTGCTACAACCGAAAAAAAACGAAGACTCTAACCGAACCCCGAAATCCCTTCAGCAAAGCCAACCAACCTGTGGTTCTATTGCTTCCCCCATCAGTCGGAATCATCGTCATGATTGTAGTAACTGATCATTAACGCAGAGCTCGGCATCACTGAAGAAAGACCCATCACTCGGACAACCTTCTCATCCTCGTCAGGAGGGCCAACATTCGCATCACCACTAAAGAGTCTCCCCAATGCCGCGAACATAGGCCTCTTTCTCCCTATTATTGAGATATTGCCACCCATTATAGAGACATTGCCAACCGTTGTGCAATCTCCTCAGATCAGACAAGTACGCATACGGATACGCTGCGCCCCAGCCGCCGATGGAGTTCAGCCGTGGAGCTTCCTGGCCTCCATGCACAAGCTGGCGTTTCCATTAGAATAACCCTTTCCACAATAGAATTGAACGAACAACGAGCGCAGAGAAAACACAAGATAGAACCGAAATCGCAGGGCAGCCTGGCTTACAGTGTACCCCGGAACCAACTTGATCACGATCCTATTCACCGCCAGCACAAATGGATAGGGTACCGGTGCGGTGCTACCGCTGTGAAACCGAACCGGGTCAACGACGTCTGCCACTGTCAAGCGCGGGTGGAGTCCCTCGAAGTCCAGCACGATCATGCTGTCAAATTCCTAGCAGTGGGTGCTTCCTTTAGCACAAATCAAGTTGAGGACTGCAGCGGTCGACGTAATCCCAACTGCTCAAATGCTCCTTTGGTCTCAATCTCATACTCAACCTTGGTGATTGAAAGCTACGTTTAGGAGTCGCTAGCGCTGGACCCTGTCTCATTCAACCTTTGTTGCTCGGGAGGCGAGAAGTCTCAGCCATGTTGAGGCTTGAGACATGCGAGGCAGAAGGTGCTCAGGCCTCCGTCTTGGAAAGAGCATGTTTGCAGTCCAACTGAAAGATGATTTTTGTACTTTTTGGACTCCAATCGAGATCCTGGACATGCTAGGCATTGGTAAGAATACGGACAACTGGGTAAACTATATGAGACATACTGACAGCTTTTACACCGATGCAGCAGGACGCTCACACCCCTATATGGGCGTATATTAGCTTCACTTTCATGTCTCTGGTCTTGGTGTCGTGTTTTTTGTCACAATAATGAGTGTCCAGGACTTTGTAAATCGATTGCGTTCGTTCGATGGCTGGGGAATGGTAAGATAGCGGCAGGAGATGACGAGACCAGCTAGGCATTGACTTGCTTGCACTAAAGGGTAGAGTTCTAGCCTATGAGAGGGTAAGGGATCTTTCTTCAGCTCGCTTTCTAAGAAACGAGATTGGCGGGGACGTGTAAGTCAAAAGCCGGCAGTCCAACAGGTAAAATGTGCTCAAAAGTGCGCATCGACTAACATGAGGGGAAGAGGGAAGAGAGGAGCGAGGGAGGACCTTGGAGATCCTGCCTTCACCTTCACCTCCATCTCCCTCGCCCTCTCTTCTATTTCATCCTCTTCTCGACTCTTCCTCATTGCGTACCGATCTCCCTTCCTCAAGAATCTCTGACCACCATCAACCATCAACCATCAAACAGCTACGACCATAACACCAAAAAACCACAAGATGTCCCCCAAATACACCCTCCCACCTCTCCCCTACGCCTACGACGTAAGAGCCAAAACCACTTCTCCCAAATAACCCCCCCCCCAAAAGCTATGCTCACAGTCCTAACCCCAACCCAGGCCCTCGAGCCCGTCATCTCCCAGCAAATCATGCAGCTGCACCACCAAAAACACCACCAAACCTACATCACGAACCTGAACGCGGCCCTGGACGCCCAAGCCACCGCGCTGGCCAGCAACGACATCCCCGCCCTGCTCAGCATCCAGCAGCGACTCACCTTCCACGGCGGCGGCCACCTCAACCACTCGCTCTTCTGGCGCAACCTGGCGCCGCCCGGCTCCCCGGCGACGGACCTGGCCCGCTCCGCGCCGACCCTGCAGCGCGCGCTCGAGCAGCGGTGGGGGTCGGTGGAGCAGTTCACCGCCGCGTTCGGGGCGGTCCTGCTGGGGCTGCAGGGCAGCGGATGGGGGTGGTTGGTGAGCGTGGGGGGGCCCGGGGGCCGGCTGGAGATCGTGAGCACCAAGGACCAGGATCCGGTGGGCGGGGGCAAGGTGCCGGTTCTCGGGGTGGATATGTGGGAGCATGCTTATTATCTCCAGGTCTGTTCTCCCGTTCGTGATGAGTTGAGATGCTTACGCCGTGCGGTGGGACTGTAGTATTTGAACAATAAGGCGGGTTATGTGGAGCAGATTTGGAAGGTGATTCATTGGGGGGAGGCGGAGGAGAGGTATACGAAGGGGGTGGATGGGGCGGCTTTGTTGAAGTTGTAGTTTTAGGATAGTTTGAGGCCGTACGCTTCATGTCTATCAATTCAGGTTCTTCGGAAATAGTAACTTCCCATCCAGCGGTACGGTACTGTACCTTGAAAGAACCCAACTCCAAACTCCATACTCCATACTCCCAATCATCTTGATATCAATACAGCTCAATCAAACCCAACCACCCCCCTCCCCATCTCAACCAGGGCATCCACTCCCTCCACCGCCACCCGCACCTCCCGCCCAACAATCCCCGTGCCGGACACCCCCAACTCCAGCCTCTCCGGCAACACCACCTCAATCTGCTGCTGTCCTCCCTGCTCCAGCTCCAGCTCCCGCTCCCGCTCCCGCTCCCGCTCCCGCAGCGACAGCGGTGACAGTGAACCCCCATCCAACCCAACCCGAAACCAATACAACGGCGGCTCACACCCCCCACCCGCCACAGAGGCAGTCAAATCCCCATACTTTCTATCCCCCACCCCCCCCCCAAAAAGGGGTACGTATTAGCCTCTGTCCCAGCAGGAAAAGGGAAACGGCGGGCAACTCACTCAATCCGCAGATCCACCCCGCGGGCAGCGGAAAAGATCTCCCTGACTTTGGGATCGGGGAATCGGAAGATCGCCCTCGTTGGGCCGTCGGGTGTGCGGGGGTCGTGGCTGAAGGTGAGGGAATACGAGGAGGAGGAGGAGGAGGAGGAGGAGCCCGAGAGGGAGGGGAAGATGATGGCGATGAGGTTGCCCGTGCTGGGGCGCGAGGGGCCGCACATGTCTATGGTCTATGGATGCTTGGGGGATGGTGAAAGGTGGTGAGGGTTTGAGGGTTGGTGATCACGGGCTGGTTGGTTTGGAGGGTTGAGGTGGGAATTGAGGAGGTTGATGTGGATGACTCCATGATCAAGAGAGAGAATCATAGAACTTATGGGAGACAGTCTCCAAGGTGGCAGTGGGAGCGGTCTGCCTGGCTACCAAGGTAGATACCTACAACGTCTATAGAGACTCAGCACTACTACAGGTAGGGTCTATACTCGAAGATGCTCAAATCTGCGCAAATCAACGCGGGGAGTGGGGGGGCCTGTGGGGCCACAGTGGGGCCAAGTCTATCTTTCTTGAGTTCAATTGATTTCTTTGTTGTCGCGTTGGGGGACTGCATTCGGATTTGACCTTCATTCCTTTGACAATAGATGCTATCTTGAGAATGTTTGAGAAGGATTCCCGTCTATGTTTATAGAAGGGCTTGTTTTGTTGGAGTCTTGGAGGCGGTGCTCCTCTGCATTTTCATAAGGTCAAAGTCACCGTGGTGGCTTACTAGTCGGTAATTCTGCCCAAAGAATATTCCATTTACTCGAACAATATGTACGTATGTACTTCCGTGTCTGACGCTATACTCTAGACTTCTACACGGAAAATAGCACCATTTGCCAGGCCCTTGCTGCCACGCTCCAAGCCTATGAACTGTACACCTTCACCGGGTGGGCCTCCGTGTTCAGCACAAACTGATTCCCACTCCCCTTCTGCACCTGCCATTTATCCTCCGGTGCGAACGCCAGGTACGTGTACTTCAGCACCTCGGCAAACATGAAACTCTCCTGGTTATCATAGCGGTTGCCTCCGTTGGCGGCGTTGACGTTGGTCAGGCCCGCGAATCCCGAGTCGGTGCGGCAGTACTTGTTGATCGACTGGAAGGCGCTCCAAATCCACTCGCGGTACTACAGATTCGTTGGTCAGTAATGCACACTCTCTTCAGGGGCCTGTTTGCTTACAGTCTCCTCACCAGTCACGCGCCACGCGTAGTAGAAGCTCTCGATGACTTCCGGTCGGAGGATATACGCGCCACTGGTGATGTAGAAGCCAGCGCTCTCGAACAAAGACTGTTGGCTGGTGGGGACAGAGTTCGGGTCCCAGCTGAAAGCCTCCGGGCCGATGCCCGTGAGAGTCGAATTGTAGGTGTCGTGGCAGCCGTTGACGAGCTCCAGACCAAAGTCGATCAAGTCGGAGCGGTCCAGCACCGTGCCGCCGAGCAGGAAGCTACCGCCATCGAAGCACGTCAGGTGCTGAGAGCTCAGACCCAGCTTGCCATTGTTGTACGAGGCCAAAAAGGTCAGGTCCGGGCGCGTGGACGGGTGCGACGCCAGGTACTTGATGGATGACTCCGCCGCCGCCACCCAGCGGTCTTTGTACGTTTCGAATCGGTTGGGATCGTATACGTACATCTTGATCAGATACTCGTAGTACGAATCAGCTCCACCGTTCCAGCTCACCGCGCCATCGGCAAATTGGCCGGTCGCGATGTTGATGTTGCTTCCCACCAACCCGGGGAAAGGCTCCGCAGTTTGGGGCTGGGGGTTTAGCAGGTAAGACTCCGCCTTTTGACTCAGGTTCGCGTAGGTAGAGTCTCCAATCAAGTCGGACAACCGGGTCCATTCCAGGACAAGGGTGCCCGTGACTGCAAGGCCATTGGTGGTGGCTCCATCGTTACCTTTGGAGCTGATGTTGAGATTGTTGTACGGAACGCCCGACGGAGTGTCGAAGGCAAATTTGAGAACGTCACCCAAATTCTTGGACTGCGTGAGCAAAGTGTCGACCTTCGACGAGTCGTCCACCAGGTCGGCGGCAGGGCCTTTCAACAGGTCATAGCCGGACAACATGCCGCCAAGGTAGCGAATGGTGGTCTCGAACAGGCTGACCGTGCTACTGGTGCTCGAGTAGTCAATCTTCGCTACATGGTCGAGAATCTGGTTCACAATGGTCGCATTGCGCATGATCACGGCGGTGGATAGGGCATCCACCGCAGACGCTCCCCATCCGTTGCGGGAATCTCCATAGCCATTAGAAATTGGGTGCAGCTCATCATGAGGGAAAGCATAGTGATAGTAGCCATCCCAAGCGTGGGAAAAAGCCTCTTTGACGGCATCAGCGCGCGATTGGGCTTTGTCTTCGGTGCGCAGAACGGGCTGGACAAATCGGGCTTGCGGAAAGGCGGCACTAGGGCTGACGAGGGCCAACGCCGTCAGCGACAAAGAGAGTGAGGAGAAATGCATGACCCCGGTGAGAGAGTGACACAAGGGCAACACGGGAAATTATGGACAACGAATGGGTACTGCACTCGAGAGCAGAAACAAACCCAAAGAGTGACAGCCTGTGAAAAAGACAGGCGGAGGGGAAGGACAACCAGTATAAATAACGATCGCACGCACTAGATCCCGCAATCCGGTGCTAGTTGTCGACGATGAGGATGGGGAAAAGACGAGGAGAGGGGGCGAGGGTGGAGAATAATTTAGGAGTTTAAGAAGAAGGAGCCTGGACCTGAAGGAGCAGGAGGCATGCATAGGGAGAGAAAGGCTACATCATGGCCAGCAGTTGGTCCATTCCTCGCCGATCTGGGGACCGCGATTGGTGACTGCAGGGGCCTCCACCGTCCATGCTATGCATCGAGCTGCAAGGGTGGATTCCGGGTTGGACCGATTCAGTCTGAATATGAGTACCCTTCTTTCTGTTGTTCATCCCAGAGTCCAGGCACCAGACCAGACACTCGAGAGTGTGACAAGTCGAAGGTCGAATCGGACCCCGTTGCCTCAAATTGATTCCATTATACTTCTGGAGACATCACTGGGGCAGGTCAGCTCGCCAGGCTGTCAAGGGTCGGAGCAGACGGAGCAGATGATGCGGAGAGAAAGCAGATGATCGCATTTCCCCTCATCATCAATGGGCAATGATCGGCAGGAGCACTCGGCAAAAGAGTGAAAAGACCCTTAAGCTGACTATCTTTAGCCAGAATGTCACTATAGTCAGGGGGTTGCGTCTCAAACCACCCCAAAGGAGTGAATGAGAGGAAAACTAACAAGGTTATAATTGATCCTCAAAAATAGGTTGTCTGGTCAGGCACAGTTCTGGACTGTTCCGGGCTCCAAGCAATCCTGGAACAGGGCAATGGCGAAGTATAAGTGGCTGCCCGCGTTTGCAATTCGGCTGTGCCGCTGTGGTAAGGCAAGTTTCCAGTAGGACAAATGGAAATGATTCCATCCCTGACGTAAGCTTTGGTTCACAGTGACTGTTCCTGACCCGTGCATAAGGCGGTCAGCCAATTAAACCCTGCCCCCCAGTTTGTCTCAACCGAGCAGGCGGTCAAGGCCTCCAGGCTCCGATTGCGGGGCAGGCGAGAAAATTGCAGGCGGAACCGATAGGAAGTATTCTTCCAGAAGGCGGCGGCGGGCGGAATATGATTCATACTCATCACTCACCACTTCCTCCTCCTCTTGAATCTTCTTCCCTCTCCCCCCCCCCCACCTTCTTTTTCTTCATCAGTTTCCCCTGCCCTGTTTCTCTCTCTCACCCCCCGTCTTGGGGCCTCATCTATCGGTTCTCTATCACCTCCTTCCTCTCTACAGACAATCATTGATCGATCACCTCACCATGTCGACTCCCCTCCTCGTCTCGTACGACCCCGCCGCCGCCTCCACCAGCGGTTTGTCGCTGAAGCAGATCGCCTACTTCGGTCGCGTCCTGATCAAGGTTTCCAGCCTCGCTCAGGCAGAGGATTTCCTCAAGCGCAACTTCCGCCTACTGGATGTCTACGTCGATGCCACTGCCATTGCCTCCTCCGGTGACTTGGTCGATATCCTCAACGCCGGTGCCGCCAAGATCTTTGTCACACTCAACCAGTTGAACGCCTTGTCCGAAGAACAGTCCGTCCCCTCATCTCGGATTGTTGCCATTGCCTCCGAGAGCCAAATCAATGCCTTCCAGTCGTGGGTTGGCGGATCTGCCGAGCGCCAAGAGGCTGGTCTGGCTACCGATGCCTCTGCCATCAAGACTTTGGCTGAGCAATTGAACATCAACCTCGAGGCTCAGAACCTCTACCGCACATACTCTGGCGCTGTCGCCGAGGAGACCTTGAAGGATACTATCGGTCAAGGAGGTGTCTGTGTTGTCCCCGCCGACGCTCTGACCTTCGACCACCAACAACCCAACGGCAAGATTGCCGCCGCCTCATTGGTCGCCGCTCGCGCTGTGACCGACCAAAGCAACGGTCTTTATGCAACCACCGTCACCGATGAAAGAGGAATTTGCTTGGGATTGGTGTGGAGTAGCACTGAAAGCATTGCAGAGGCTCTTCGCACCGGTACAGGCGTCTATCAGAGCCGCAAACGTGGCTTGTGGTACAAGGGCCAGTCCAGTGGAGATGTGCAAGAATTGATCCGCATCGGTTTCGATTGCGACAGCGACTGCTTAGTCTTTGTTGTCAACCAGATTGGTAGAGGTAAGTCTATCCACACTACCCATGTCGTTCTCGCTTAACCAGAAATAGGTTTCTGCCACCTGGGTGCCCCCAGCTGTTTCGGACCTTACAACGGCCTCGCTCGTCTGCAAAAGACGCTGCAAGCTCGCAAGGCTGATGCTCCCGCCGGCTCCTACACTGCACGCCTCTTCAACGAGCCTAAGCTCACTCAGGCAAAGATCATGGAGGAGGCTGATGAGTTGTGCCGTGCCAACACCAAGGAGGAGATTGCTTTCGAGGCCGCCGATCTGCTTTACTTTGCCCTGACTCGCTGTGTCGCTGCTGGTGTCAGCCTCGAGGACGTGGAGCGCAACCTTGATCTCAAGAGCCTGAAGGTCAAGCGCAGAAAGGGTGATGCCAAGGGCCCCTGGGCGGAGAAGGCTGGTCTGACCGCCGCCACTCCCGAGTCGAAGCCTGCTGCCCCTGAGCCGGCGCCCAAGAAGGTGGATGAGCCTCTTCAGATGACTCGTGTGGTCACCGCCTCCACTCCGGTTGACGTGGTGAAGGAGTATCTTAAGCGTCCCTCCCAGAAGTCCAACGATGCGATTGTCGCCCTCGTTCGCCCCATCATCCAGGACGTCCGCGAGAATGGCGATGCCGGTGTACTCAAGTACACCCACAAGTTTGAGAAGGCCACTTCTCTGACCTCTCCAGTCATCCGCGCCCCGTTCGCACCTGAGCTGATGAAACTGTCCCCTGAGACCCAGGAAGCCCTTGACATTAGTATCTCCAACATCAAGAAATTCCACAGCGCTCAGGCGGGCAGCCCCGAGGGCCTCAAGGTTGAGACCATGCCCGGTGTTGTGTGCTCTCGTTTCTCGCGCCCTATTGAGCGGGTCGGTCTGTACATCCCGGGTGGAACGGCTGTTCTGCCCTCCACGGCCATGATGCTGGGAGTTCCTGCTATGGTGGCTGGTTGTGAGAAGATTGTTCTCGCGTCTCCTCCTCGTGCCGATGGCAGCATCTCTCCCGAGATTGTCTACGTTGCTCACAAGGTGGGTGCCGAGAGCATCGTACTCGCTGGTGGTGCCCAGGCGGTTGCGGCCATGGCGTACGGTACTGAGAGCGTCAGCAAGGTCGACAAGATTCTGGGACCAGGCAACCAGTTTGTCACCGCGGCCAAGATGTTGGTCTCCAACGACACCTCCGCTGGCGTCAGTATTGACATGCCCGCCGGTCCCAGTGAGGTGTTGGTGATTGCAGACAAGGATGCCAACCCGGCTTTCGTGGCTTCTGATCTTCTGAGCCAGGCCGAGCACGGAGTGGACTCTCAGGTTATCCTCATTGCCATCGATCTGAACGAGGAGCAGCTCCAGGCTATCGAGAAGGAGGTTGACATCCAGGCCAAGGCTCTTCCTCGCGTCGACATTGTGAAGGGCTCCTTGGCCCACTCGGTCACTTTCGTCGTCCGTGACCTTGCTGAGGCCATGGCTCTGAGCAACGAATACGCTCCCGAGCACTTGATCCTGCAGATTCAGAACGCCGAGGCGGCTGTGGCGAGTGTGAAGAATGCTGGCAGTGTGTTTGTCGGACAGTGGACCCCTGAGAGCGTGGGCGACTACTCTGCTGGCACGAACCACTCTCTTCGTAAGTTTACCCCTTTTTTGGTTCAGGAAGCAGTGGCTAACGGTTCGCAGCTACCTATGGATATGCCAAGCAGTACTCTGGCGTGAACCTCGGATCTTTCGTTAAGCACATCACCAGCTCCAACCTGACTGCTGAGGGTCTTCTGGGTCTGTCTCGTACGGTGGAGCAGCTGGCTGCGGTTGAGGGACTCGATGCGCACAAGCGGGCTGTGAGCATCCGTGTGGCGCACATGAAGAAGCAGCAGCAGTAGTTCGATGATGATGCATCATGTTTCGTTTTCTTTAGCAGCTAGTTACGATCTGACGCGTGTAATATTGCAAGCATAGCCAATCAGAAAAGTATGATTCCCATGTGACGATCAATGTACAATATGAAGAACATTTGGTATCTCGGACGCCTGGCGATCTATAAACCCACTTGAATAAGAGAACAAAAACGGGGCAACTTTTCCGTCCCAACCCATGCATGCAGTGACAAGCAAGCGATAAAATAACATCAATCATGTACGTAGCAGCGATTGAAGAGACAAACAACAGACGCAGGACCGATCACCGCTTACGCTCGCGGATCTTCCACTTGACACCGTTCTTATTCGTGCCTCCGACGACGTTGTCCATGCGGCCCCGCTGCCAGTCCAGCTCGCGGGCTGCAGCCGTGATCTCCTTGTACTGCTTCTGCAGGGCCTGAATCTTGTTGTCTCTGGCCTCGGTGGCGCGCTTCTTCAACTTGCGGGCGCGCCTGGCCTCGACCAGGGCCTGCCGCTCGGCCTCGATCTGCTTCTGCGACTTTTTCTGCTGCTGTTGCTTCTTGCGCTGGCCGAACGAGTCATCATCCTCGTCAGTTTGGGAGTCCTCCTCCTCCTCTTCCAACCGTAACAGCCTCTCCCGCTTCAAATCCTTCTGTTCATCCCGATCCTCCACAAAGACGACCTTCCTCGACTTGCCCCCAGCATTATCATCTGCGTCATCATCATCATCCTCATCCCCGAAATCAAAATCGAAATCCATATCATCATCAAACCCATTAAACTCGTCATCACCCCCGCGCCCATTCTTCCCCTTCGTCTTCGCCTCTTTCTTCTCCTCCTTCTCCCCAAGCGCCGCCTTGATCCCCACCTGCACCTGCACCTCCTCCTCCAACCGCCCCAACTGCCGACGGATCCGCTCCCCCTGCGTGCGGAGGTACCCGGCGTCCTGGGTCTTGAGCAATTTGATGGCGTCGTGGCTCAGGCCGCGCGCCGCGGCCGAGTCGCGCACGCCCGTGCCGTGCCGCCCCTGCCGCGCCGTGTGGCTGGAGAGCATGCCGAAGTTGAATTCATCGGGGTTGCGGTCGCGGACCTTCTCCTGGAGGCGCTTGAGCTTGGCCTTCTTGGCGTTGTAGTCTTTGGCGCGGAGGGAGTAGTCCTAGCCGGTCATCCAGGAGAATTAGTTATTCAGAAGAGTAAAACCTGAGGGGGACAGGGGCTGGTTTACCTTGTGCTTTTCAAGGATTCCCCATTTTTCGCGGCCGTGGAGTTGGGCGCGCTCCTTGTGGTTGCGCCGTTGGACGGTGTTGCGCATGGTGGACATTTTGAATCGGAGGGTGGCACCGGGGGGCCGGTTTTTTGCTCAGACTTTTAGGGGGCTGGAAGGAAGCAGATGAGAGGGTTTGGGGATGTGATACGGAGGTTGTGGTGGACTGTGGAGGGAGTATGGGTTTCGTAGGCTACTGGGCTGTTCAAAAAAAGTCGGCCGGCAAGGCGGAGGGCGGGCGGAGCGGCTAAACTGCTTTGGGATCAGTCCACCCGGTTTGAACTTTGTCCGCATCCAAGCTCCGAGCTGCGGTGGTTGATTGTGAGTCTGGTCGATTGACTCGTTGATTGTGTTCTTCCTCGGATTGCATCAGGCTGCTTTTGGTGGATTTTGCATGAAGTGACTCTCGACTACGTGACCAAGTCACTACCTCCTCCTCCTCCATCACCACCGACAGACGGACAGACAGACAGACAGACAGACAGACAGACACGGACAATCAACCCAGTGATCGACCAACGCTACGAGAGTACTTCATCCTGCATCCTGCAACCATTGCACTCGAACCACTCGATCAGATCCCACCCCTCCTCAAACGCAGGCTCAGAAACGCAGACTCAGACTCAGACGCACTTACGCACATTCAATCCCGGCCCCGAACCCGAATCCCAAACTTAAGAGACCCCCCCCACCCCCCCCCCGGCCAAAATGACAACCCCAAAATACAACCTCCGCAACCCCCTCCCCCTCTCCGCCACCCAAGAAGCCGAAGTCAAACAAATATACTACAAGCGCGTACGAGGCCACTGCGCCCCAGAGATCAAGGGTACGAGCCTGCCCCCATCGCCTTGCAGCAGACCTCCCAAGTCCCCAATTGCTCTCCTGCCTTTCCCCAGTCAAAAAAGCCCGAACCTGGGGCAAAGCAATCCCCTCCCCCTCAACCCCAGAGCAAACCCCCCGTCCCCCTAAAAACCTCAACCCCACGAATCCACACCGCTAACCCCCAATTGCCACGTGTTCAGCCTTCGCCGAATGCGCCGTCAACCGCACGGTAACCGCGACCTGGGTGTGCCGGACGCAGCGGCTGGCGATGAACGCGTGCATGCTGGCGCACGCCAAACCGGAGGAAGAGGACCGGGCGCGGGAGGAGTGGTTCGCGACGCACGAGGAGCGACGGCGCGCGGAGCAGGCCAAGCTGGATGCCGTCGAGGAGCGGCGCGCGCAGGTCATCTCGATGATGCGGGCGGATGATGAGCGGCGGCGGCGGGAGCAGCAACAACAAGAGGAGGAGGAGAAGGTGCGGCGGCAGCAGAAGTAGGCTGCGCCGGGGGATGGATGTTTTGCTTGCGTTGTGAGGTTGTTGGCTGTGGGTTGGGTTTTGGAGCGCGGGAGATGGAGGTCAGTGTCCACCGTTGGTGCTGCATGAGGATATGCGATTGGGGCTCGCTTCATGGGCGTTATGTTGTGTGTCTTATTTGACTATGTTGTATGATATGGCGTTTCATGTTCTTTGGTTTTTTTGTTTGTGTCTGTCGTTGTATGCAGGGTACCGTTTAAAGGGCATATTTGTACATGTATAGTATGGACCGACCAGAGAGTGGCCGAGAGCTCGAGGATATAAAAGTGGTGGCAGGAAGCCGAAGCCGAAGTCGTGATGATTATAGATAGATATGGTATAGAACCTGACCTCTCTCCTCCTCGAAAGTCGATAACCCGATTTTCACGCCGAGCGCCAAAACACCATCCAACCCCCGAACTAAACATCCGTCATATCCTTATCCCCATCATCGTCCTCCCCCATGGCCGTATCCTCCCCGAACACATCCTCCATCTTGCCATCCTCATCCTCATCCTCACCATCCTCCTCCTCCTCCTTCTTCACCCCGGCCACCCCATTCTCCCGCGCACCGCCGGACGTGCCATCGCCCCCGAAATCCCCCGGCTGCTCCACCTCCACCTCCACCTCCTCCTCGCCCTCACTCTCCCACTCGTCGCGCAGATTCCACCCGTTGCCCGTCAGGCAGAACCGCTCGGGCGGCAGCCGCAGCCCGCCCATCAGCACGCTGCCCTGGCTGCCGGCGACCACCTTGGAGTTGCCCTGCTGGTCGAAGCCGCGGCTGGCGCCGGGCAGCGCGACGCGGTTGCGCTCGGCGGCGACATCCATGAGGAACTCCTTGGGCAGGCCGGACTGGAACTGGTAGTGCAGGCGGGAGGCGATGCTGAGCCGCAGCGCCGGCAGGCTGACGCTGTTGACCTCGGGCGGGCCGCGCGCCGCGGCGCCCGTGTCCGTCGTCGCGCCCGCGTACCCCTCCGTCGCCAGGTGCACCGCGTCCTGCAGCACGCTCGACGTGTACCGGTACGCGAAGTCGAGGAGCTGCAGCGGCACCCGCTCCTGGTACGCCGTCACGCCCAGGCTGGCGAGCAGCATGTGGATGAGCCGCACATCGCGCGGCCGCCGCGACTTGCCGCTGTCTTTGAGCGAGGTCGACGGGATCTGCGTCGGTTGGTTGGCGGGCGCCGGGGTCGTGGAGGCGGCGGGTGCTGTGGTGGTTGCTGTGGTGTTCGGGTTGGCGGTGCTGGTGCTGGTGGTGGGGTTGTTCGTCGACGTCGTCGTCGTGCTGTTCGGGTTGTTCGTGGTGTTCATGTTGGAGGCCGCGTTCGGGGTCGATTGGTGGTGGTCGGCCGGAGGGGTGATCGGGTGCTTGGTTGTCGCTGCGCCGGGATTGGATGGGTGCGAGGGTGAGGCCATATCTGAGAGAGACGGTGGAAAAGAGGAGATGCACTGATGTCGTGCGGAGTGCTTTGCTGGGAAGGCGCGCTGTTGTAGGTACGGAGGACTGTACGGAGGACTGTACGGAGGAGAGAGGAGCGTGCGGAAGTGTCGCCTACCGCCTTGCGGTCGAGGTTGAGCTGGATGCGACGGGTAAGAGAGCGCTGAGGATAGAGTGAAGCGGCTGTCAATTGACAATCTTGAACATTATCGTTCCGCGATCGATCAACGGCCCACCAGAGATAAAAGCCTGTTGTCAAGGATGAGGTGGATGGATAAAGACTGCAGTGGAGGGAAGCAACTTGGTAATTGAATCTGGAAAGTGACTGGAGCGGGATTCTTCCCGCACACGCTAGTCCCCGTCCGGACATCGGCTCACTAGTATACCGAAGTAACTTATACCGAAGCTTGGTATCATCTCCGTGCCTCAAGGTACAGCACCAAGTAAAAACACTAACTAGAAGTTGGAGGCCTTCTGAGTCCACATCTCCTTCCATATCTCTGTGTCCTTATATCCATTGAGCTATTACTCCCACAAGTGTATTAACATATAACTATGACTCTGGCTAGACTAGACGAGACTAGACTATGCATCCCTGCAACGCCTCAATGCTGCTCTATAAACAAACACCCCATGCAAGCTCTATCTATGCCACACAGCTCGAAGCACCGGCGATAATCGTCCTCAGACGGGGTATCGAGCGTTTCTTACGCAAATCATTGCCCACCGATGCAACAACACCGCCTAACAACACTTCAACGAGAGGGTGACCTCGGGGGAGACCGTGGAGTGGCACTGACAGCTCTCAATTCCTCTTCGTTAGGAAGAATGTGGTGGTCATCCGCCAGTTCAGATCCGTCCACGGAGTCTTGCGATATATAACTGGCGCCAAGGTCCTCCTCTTCGCCACTCTCCTCCTCGTCCAGGGCCTCGCTGCCATCGTCGCTGATCTCGCCGTCGTACTCCTCATCTTCTTCAAGTTCTTCGTCCTCATCCAGCTCCTCCTCTTCTTCTTCTACTTCGTCCTCCTCTTCGTCTTCCTCGGGTTCCTCGTCTTCGGCTTCACTGTCTGTACATGAGAACGCCTCGAGGTCGGGCGGAGGTTCACGCCAATACGTGAAATCGGTGTACTCCTCGCCACCAGCCTGAACCAGCAAACTGACGGGCGGGAAGAAGTGGTCAAGCAGCTCTCCCATTGAAACGTAACTGCTCTTGTATTTGTTCAAACTGAGAAGATCCAATGACACCTCCGTATTCGAGTTGATGGTGAAAATCCGTGTCGAAGGGATATTCACCGACCGGTAGCTTAGCGCGTCCGTCAGGCGATTGCCGAACCCGGCGTAGAATGGGTTCTCCTTGCCATTGAACAGGTTCAGGATGTCTCGCAAGCACGCCATCTTGAAGACTTCGGGCTTCCGAAGGTAGATCTCCCGTCGAAGTGCTGCCATGGTCCGGTCCGGACTCATGATGGTTGGACCCTTGGGGAGTCGGTAGCCATCCTGGCACACTCCATATAAATAGGCTCGCGTAGTGTCAGCCTGGCCGACGGATCGACTGGTAAGGTACATGATGTTGTAACCATTATTAGCGATGTCTGTGTACAACTTGGCGACTCCAGCATGTGTCCAGTCTCGTCCAATCATATTCAGCACATGACCCAAAGCATCAGACCTATAAATTTTAGTGGGAGCAAAGCCGATGGCACGAGGTTTGTACTCACTTAGTAATGGTCCCGTCAATGTCTGAGATCACAATTGGCGTGTTGCCATTCCACAGATACATGTTGGCGGTGCAGGTTGCTCGGTTCACACTGAACGACATGTTGTTGGGGCCGGGCTTCAGTTTCAGTGCCTTGAGCTGGTCGCTGGTCAATCGCAAAGTCTTTGCGTAATTACGTGTGGGTTCCAAGGCAAGGGAATCTTGACTAGGGGACTGTGGCGGCGTAGGAAAGCCAGGTTGCACGTCTGATTGCGTCCGATAGTGGCGGGCCGTCACTGCCTTGTCATGGATGGACGGATCGCTATCGCTATGGTACCCCGGGTCGGAGATGGCATTTTCACTCATTGCCGACCCCGGTCGCATTGTGTTGAACGTAGCCCGGCGATCGGCAGCCTCTTTGGCCTCCTCGCTGCTATAGATCCATAGATTACCGTGCTCATCTGCCCCGATTAGGGCTCCGATGTCGTAATTGCCCTCCAATTCTTCGGCAAGAATCTTCCGAGCAATGACCTCCGCCCGCAGCGCATCTTCCTCGTTGCTTTTGTAGCCCGTCATATCCAGCATCAAATCTCCAGTCTCCGTTACGCGAGATGGGATGTTCGACCCGGACAGCTTCTTCGACAGCGATTCGGCTCGAGACATCACTTCCTCGAGCGACAACGGCGGAGGGCTGCGGGATCGTCCATCCGGAGTGGTTTCATCGCCTAATACATTCACCGCATACGGCTGATTCGTCACTCCAATACTGTTAGACCGGTTCTTCGTCAAAAGCACGCTATCGGTGGCCATCCGGTCGATCCTGGCAGGGCCCTCGCTGAAGGAGCCATGGCGGGACCGGCCCATAGTTGAATCACTATCCGGTGATCGCGAAAGAGGTGTAATTGTACCTGTGAGGTCATCAGTCGTTGTCCAAGTACAAGAGCCTCCTCAACGTACCCAGGTCGCTGGATGCCCGCATCCCCCTGGACAATATGGGGAGTTCAGCCGATGACTTCCCATCGGCTCGGTTTTCAGTGGGCGACGGAGATCGATCGAGGTCTAAATACTCCGGCTCTGACAAGGAAGAGGAAATGTTCTCTTCGCTGCGCATCTTGGGACTGCTGGTAGGCGAAACTAAGGGTGACGTCTGCAGCGAGGCGGGGATCTCGGCGGTCGTTTCGAACACGAAAAAAGCCTCCCCGCCCTCACCCAGCTTCATCGCATAGTCCTGTTTGACGCCATTCACGGAGAATTCCACCTAGCAACATCTTAGCCATAATAGCTGGACAGTGGATGCGGGCCGGCGGTACCTTTTTCTCGTACGGGCGGAGGAGAGAGAACTTGCCGAATCGAACATGGAATGGAGAACAAGCCAAGGTTCCTGCAGCGATTTGCGATTAATAAAATTATGCGATGCACCACAAAGCATGACAAACAAACCATCCTCTTGCTCGATCACAATGACATCAATTGCCCCGCTGAGGGTGGCTGGGTTGATGGAGTTCCAGGTCTTCGAGACGGAACCGCTGATGCTGCGGACGTATTGCATCCTGCAGGCTCAACAGGGGGTGGTCCCTGGAGAAGGTCGAGTATATCCGAGAGAAAGCGATTGAGAAGAGAAATCTATTCCAGAGTCGCACCACGCAGGTGGGAGTAGGAGAGGGGTTGAAGGAGGAGGTGGTGGTCAGAGGCCGGGGGTGCAGGAATTGCCGCCTACTCGTACATACGTACGTCCCATGTGACAATGCCCGATAGACATGCCCCGAGGCGGGAGACAATACGTAGTGAAGTAGAAATGATAACGAGAGACGAGAGTCACTCGCGCGACACTCGACTAAAACAAGCAGATAAATGATAACCAAGCGAGGGATACCTGTATAACCAGGTAGACAAGCAAAGAGTGTATGAGACTTTGGAAAAGTTAATAGAACTGGAGTGAAAAGGAAAAGAAGTAGAAGAACCGTCAATTCCGCGCAGGCAATTGTTGGGAGAGGCTCAACCGCCCAACCGGTCGGCGTCATGTGCTTTTCAGCCTTCCAACTTCCAACTGATCCAACATTCCTCGGCTTGGAACGGGCGCTAGTCCTGCTTTGGATGCCTAGACCAGTCGCACAGGATCTGCACGCTGACTCAGCTGATCTGAAGCCGCCAGCCTTAAGGGTACAGTCAGGTGACTTGGACTCCCCACTGGGTCGGCAGCCTCCGCGGAGCATCGGATTAATTCCCCAAAGACTCTCTCTCTCTCTCGCTATCTTTGCTTCAATCCTGCCCGCCATCGCAGGACCTCTATTCGACCTTTCGACCTTTCGACCTTCTATCCTCCACGGCCCTCTCGCACTCCCAAGCGTGCACGAGGTCACTGCTACCCCCTCACTTCCTGTCTCCTCCTCCATGGGTCGTGGACGCTGGGATGTATGAGCCATTGCATCTCTCCTTCGACGCCTATCCCAGCGTGGTTCCCCGAGTCAGGGTTCGAGGCGTTATGGCTCTCTTCCTGGCTATCACAATTCTCTGGGCCCTGATCTGGTGAGTAGCCCCTCAGAGAGTTTCGCAGATGATGTCTCGGGTGGACTAATCTTGTCCCAAGGCTGCTCTACCGTGCGTGGCAGGTCTGTCAGACGCCCAACGAAGTTCTCGTCGAAAAGCTGGGGCTCGACATCCCGCCACCCCCGGAAGTTACTCTAGAGGAAATTACAGCGCGTGAGATCCGGATAGCCTGGAAACAACCGGAGTTCCACAACTCGATCCACAAGCACATCATTCAGCTAAATGGCGTCAAAGGTAGTTCTCATTTAGCGATCATGATCCCTTCTTTCTCCGGTGCGGCTAACATTCTGTCAGTGGGCGAATCGAAACGAGCGGAGACTGCTGTCGAAATTCTAAACCTAGTCCCTGGAAGTATTTACCATATTTGTGTGCTCTCAGTCAGCGCCGCCAATTTTCAGACACCCAGCGCGATTATTCATGTGCGCACGAAATCTCTACCTCTCTCCCAGTCGCAGCAGAATGCGCCGGTCGGAAACCCTACCATCCGGGCCTCGATTCCCCGATCGACCGCAGGCCTGGCCGCCCCCGCGGCGCCTGTCATGGCGCGTGAGCATAGCGGAGGACAACTTCAGGCGAAGCGATCTACGGCCGGGCGGAAACCATCCCCTGCAGCTAGCACGACCGACATCGCTCACTCCAGTGCCGAGGATTTGCAGAAAAGTACCGCCACTGACGACCATGATGAAACATTGGAGCAGCTTGCCGATCGTTTGAAATCCCTGCAGCAGGAAAATGAAACCGTGGAAAAGCAGACCGCCGACGAAGAAGAGGAGCACATCGCACTATTGAAAGAACTGGAGAAACAGCGTGATGACCTGAAGAAGCGAGTGAAGGAGAAGGATGAAGCCAGCGGCGATTTGAAGAAACACGTCTACAAGTTGGAAAGCGTCAACCGCACTGTGCAAAGTGAGAAAGCTAAACGTGAAAGACTCCTGCAGCAGAAAGAGTCCGAGCGAAAGAAACGCAAGGCCGACATCATTCGGTGGCAGGAGCAGGTTGAAAGCATGGCTCGTGAAGCTGCTGAGTCAAGACAGGAGAAGGCTCGAGTTGAACAGGAAGCGAAACAACGTGCAGATGAGATTCGGGAGAAGATTAATAAGGAGCAGTCAGAGATGAAGCTCATTGATGATGAGATCCAGGACAAGGGTGGCCGTGTCAAGAAACTTGAGGATGAAAGGAAGACTCACCAGGAGGCCGACAGTGAGGACGGAAAAGAGTTGGACAGAATTGATAATGAACGAGCACGGCAATGGGATGTCAAACTGAGCAACCTTCATGCTCGCTATGCCACTCTAGTCAGCCTTCATGCCCAGGTGAGTTTGCTCGAAGCCACCATTTTGCAACCTCGCACACTAACCGTCCCCCCAAGGCGCAGCAACAGTATCAAGAGGCCCAGGAACGCTTGAAATGGCTTACAACCCAGCGAAGCGGCAGCACAGGACCCTTTACTCTCCCAGCTCTCGATATGGATCTCTCGAACACCGCAACCATCCGTCCCCGTCGGCATCGCAGTTCGCTTACCAGCAATGTTTCTTCGCCCATGAACTATACGTCCCTGGAGCCAACTTTCTCCAGCAGCCTTGGCTACAATCCTCCCGTCACCAGCTCACCTACTTTTGGACCCACCTCCGCCTTTTTCAACATCACGAACGGAATGACTCTGCCGAGTTTGACCAGTCAATCTGACTCTCTGCATGGCTATCCAGCAGATCAGATATCTCTCGGTGCGCCTCAAATGAGCCCTCGCGCAGACGCCTTACTACCCTCAGATCTTCTTGGCGATGAGGAGTCGCCTGAGCTTCCTCGTCCGGTCATCCGATCTCGTTTTCCCAACCTTGAGCAGCCGGGCACCCAGCTCGAATTTCCCCACGGCCCGCCGTCGCCCGATTCGCCCAACAACAGTCGTCCAGCAAGCCTCTTCGCCAGCCCTCATGAGAGCCAACCTCATTCTATTGAAGTCGAGCCTCAACCCACGAACCTAGGGGAAGCAGGTGAGGCACCAAAGAGTGCCTCGCGGCGACTTTCTGGCCTCTTTGGCTTCCATCGTCCTCGCGGTAAAACTCTCGCCGATGAACCGCCCTTGCTAGGCAGCCTGAAACCAGGACAGAGTCAGTCATTCCCCCGTAATCTGGATGAGATGGATCCCATCGGTGCTAGACGTCGTCGGCTGAGCTATACAGGCAATTGGGCCAATCCGATGTCATTGTTCCCTCGAAGCAATACAGCCGGTGCCACAACTGACAGCTCGTCGGATCACCATCCATCTCGTCGCACTGCGTTCTCGAGTATCTTCTCTCCCAGTAGATTTGGCTTTGGCAGCGGTAGCAGCTTGCTCAAGTCCGGCGAGAATGCGGATCTCAGCACGGGATACAACCAATTCAGCCCCCGGCATGATCCCATCGATCCCGCTACAATTCTTGGGAAAGTGCGGCGAGAATCATTGTCTCCGAGGCCGTCTTCGACCTTTTCGTTCGACAATCACCTTCCCCATCCTTCGACAGATAACAGGCACTTTGGCTGGCCGTCAGCCGAGAAGCCCGGCCACCGTAGCCCCTTGGGGTTTGATTGGGCGTCCCCCTCAACATGGTCAAGGGTTCAATCCCGTCGACCATCGATTCAGTACGGGTCGTCTGGTCACCTGCCTTTGAGCCTGACCGGTGAGCCCGATTTCCTCCAGGACTCGTCTTTTGAGCGGCAAGGACGCCCCTTGCAGGCTCCTATCGGCACCCGACCATCGTCTTCACACCGGCCGGTTACACCAAAGTTGAATCCGGCAGCGCCTTCGTTCAAGGCCATCTTCTCTTCCGGGAAGAAATCCGACAAGAGTAAGGAGAAAGACAAGGGCAAGGACCGGGAGTTAGAGGCACCGTTTGATTTTCCGATGGACGAAGGCTCTCCTTCGGAGTCGCGCGCTTCCCGGGATTCACGTTCTCTGTCTGCCCTGACCGGCGATTCGTACGAATCATTGGAGCGAATGCTTTCCGGGGGTTCATTGGATAATGCCAGCTCGAAGGAGTCATTTATCCGCAAGATCACCCGTAAAGGGAGCTCGAGTAAATTCAGTTCGTGGAAGGATCGGTCTGGTCTCTTTTCCAAGCGGGGTGACACCGCGCAGGGAGATATCGATGAGGATGCCCACGGTGAGGCGCTACTTGCTAAGAGCATTGACAGCACTGTCTCGAGCGCACCCTCTGCGGATAGATCCACCCGCAGCAGCTTGGGCTTCTTCAGTCGGATGTCGAGGAGGTCGGCTGCTAGCGAGACGAGCGAGCGTCCTAGCGAACAGGCTAGCGAGGCAGACGAAGATTCCGAGGAGGAGGATCATCATCATTCTTGATCATACTGCGTCTGCAGCATTCATTCTCTCACTTTTCCTATCCATAGATCAAGAGTCAGTCAGTCACTTGTCATTTACTTCTTTCGGCCTTTCCTAGCGCTGTAAGCTTCAGGGTTGGTGGTCATCACTTTTCAGTCTTTTCAGTCTTTCCTAGGCATATTTGGATTGCACATAATAATTTCCCTAAATGCATCATTCAACATTCATTCATTCATTATTTGAAGGCAGTATTCCTGGTACAAAGATAGCGATAAACAAACAAGCTCAGTATGTGTAAACCACTTCAATACGTTCTTCAAAGTGTCATACATAGAGTACCTTACAAGGTACATCTGGTCGAGGTGCACTCAAGGTTGCCGTTACGCGGATAAAAAAGAGGAACCGCGATCCTCCCCCACCACTCAAATCTTCATCCCACCTCAATTCCCCTCTCGGCGGCTGCATCCTCATTATACATAGCTTTTCTCTATGATTATTGTATACCTGCTTCCGTAGCCCTTGCATACTCTCACATAGCGTCATAATGGCAAACTCCAAGTACCATGCCCCAGAATTCTCACCCTGACATATCTTCTGCGCTAAAACCCTTCACAGATACGAGTATGTCAAGTCATTCGAGCAACCCGATGTGTTGCTCCCTAACACATGGATTGTCGTTCGCATTGACGGTCGAGGATTCCATAAGTCTGTTTATTCTTTCACCTATCTCTAAGCCCGTTACCTCCGTGGGAACGTGCAACGACCACCCGGGATCCAGTCTCTGACCGCAATCCAGACTCTCCGATCGCTACGGCTTCGTCAAGCCCAACGACCGTCGGGCTCTAGATCTGATGAATGCCGCCGCCGTGGAGGTCATGAAGGAGCTTCCCGATCTATGTCTCGCCTACGGTGTCAGCGACGAGTACAGGTACCGTTGCAGCCTACCCGCTACCAACGCATGGGGATCTTGCTAACCCTCTTCTTCCAGTTTCGCATTCCACCCCAGCTGCCAGTTATTCGAGCGACGGAGCGCGTAAGTTGCATCCCTCCATTCGTCTTCAGAAAGCTCATCATCGATTGTTGGATGACTAGCAAACTGGTCACGACCATCGTGTCAACCTTCACAGCATACTATATCTATCTCTGGGGCACGTATTTCCCCGACACGCCGCTGCAGCCCGCGGCTCTTCCTTCGTTCGATGGACGGGCGGTCATGTACCCGAGCTCGAGGATCTTGCGAGATTACATGAGCTGGAGACAGGTGGATTGTGAGTGCAGCCCCTCAGGTTTCGTCCGACGGGGTATTGATGAGTGAGTCAGGTCATATCAATAACCTGTATAATACGACATTCTGGACCATGGTCCTGCAGGGTGGTATGAGCAATACGGATGCGGAGCAGGAGCTGAAGGTAAGTCCGGTCTCTTGTGGGATGGTTGGTGGCGGCGAGGTTGATGCTTATGGGCATGGTAGGGCACTGTCTCATCGGACAAGAATGAGATTCTGTTCAAGCGGTTCGGGATCAACTATAACAATGAGGAGGAGATCTATAAAAAGGGCAGTGTGATTTATCGCCAGGTATGTTTTGGGTTTCCCGTTGGCATCTAGGAGTTTCTCTCTTAACTATCGGCGCAGTATCAACTCGAAGACGCACAGCCCAAGTCAGGGTCAGGCGATGCAGAGGATGAGGAGGATATCCCAAGCGCTCCGGCTTCGCGATCTCAGCAGGATAAGATCCGCAAGTTGCGTCGGAAAGCGCAGGTGGTCGTCGACCATGTGGATCTCATCAAAGATGAATTCTGGCAGCGGCGGCCGTGGATCCTATCTGGCAGGCCGGGGAAATTGCCTACGGAGGCACAATAGGTTGAGCTATGTGTGATAAGAGTCAGAAACAATGCGTTGATTTATGAATGGAATGTCAATGCCAAAATTTTACGAATCCAAGAACCAAGCAACAAGCCATGGGTATCTGTAAGAAGTCTAATGTGTGTACTGTATAGATCCAACCTTTGGGGAGGTTTCACTCCGCCGCTTTGGACTTTTTCACCTTTTTCGGTGCCGCATCTGTCGACGCCTCCTCTCGCGTCTTCCTCTTCTTGCTCTCTTTTGGTGTCTTCTTCTCCTCCTTGGTCTTCTTGTCCTTGCGGTCCTTTTTCTTCTGGGTCTTCACTTTCGCCCCCGTCTGCTCCTGCTCCTGCTCCTGCTCCGTCACCGGCGGCGTCGGATAATCCTCATACTGGGGGCGCGGCGCATCCTCCTCGCCCTCGGTCCGGCGCTTCAACAGCTTGGCAGCAGCCTTCTTCTCGCGCCTGAGCTTCCGATCCGCTCTGCGCGCCTCCCTCTCCTCCCTGCGCTTCACCTTCTCCTCGCGCTTCACGCGCCTCTCCTCCTTGCGCTTCCTCCGCTCCTCCTTCCGAGCCTTCCTCTCCTCCTTCGTCTCCTTCTTTTCCCCGTGCCTCTTCCCATTTTTATCATCATCGTCACCATCCCTCTTCCGCTTCCCCTTCCCGCTCTTCCCCTCCCCCTCCCCCTCCCCATCTCCCTTATGCACATCCCCAAGAGTCCCAGCAACGACCTCCCCCCGGACAAAGAACCGATAAAGCTCGCTGGTCAGCGCGTTGGGCGCGGGCGCGGCCGTCGGCGGGCGCGCCGCCTCGCCGACGCCCTTCAGCGCGTCCTCGAACCCGCGCAGCCACCACTGGTTCGTGGGGTCCTTGGTGGTCTTGTTGCCGACGCCCGAGTTGCCCTTCCGGCGCGCCACGAGGATCGGCCGCGTCAGGCCCAGGCCTGAGGTGGCGCCCGGGCGGGCGTTGGGGTTCAGCGGGTTGCCGGGGCCGGACCAGCCGAGTTTGAGGAGGATGGCTTGTGCGTCCATTTTTGGGGGCGGAGTTGTGGGGTTAAGATGTTGTGTGCTGTGGTGGTGGTGGTGGTGGTGGTTAAGCGGGCATTTCTTGCGTGCAACGTCGAGGGATTGGACTTGGGTGTTCGGGTCTTGGGGTTGATTTTATGGTTTGATTCCAGGTCTAATCGGATCGTGCAGGGCGCGAAAACTCGCCCGTCCACCTATTCGGTTTGCAGAGGGTTTGAGATAGAAAAGAGGGGGGAGATAGGGGAGTGGAAATTCAAGATGCAAAACGGAGGGGAGGGGGAAGGTCGGTCAAGTTGAGAACCTTGAAAAAAAAGATTTGAATTCCCGCGGATAAGAGACCGAATGATAAGCCTGGGCTTCTGATGTGTGCATTACATTTTTAGTAACAAGGTGAAAGCTTCCATCAAGCAAGTCGCGTGGTCTAATGGTTATGATTTCTCGTTCACATCGCAAGAAGTGTTAGCTACTCCAGCGCCGAGAAGGCTCCCGGTTCGATCCCGGGCGCGACTATCTCTTTCTTTTTTTGGCGGGTTGCTTGGCTGGGGTAGGGGTTGTTTTTTGTGTGCTCTCGAGGGGTAATAAGTAAGGTAAAACTCGATTTATGCGTGTTTATTGTGTTGTTTGTCTTTTGTGAGGCTCATAAGTAGTGGTGCCGGTGGTCTGGTCTTCTGCTGTATCATCGTCATGCCTCGGTGTGGTGGTTGGGCAAGGTGACAATATATCTACTTCCCGCGGTGCGGATGTACAGCTTTTTCTTCTCTCCGGGCATGGTGTTTTACCAGTGACTTAGCTTTAGGTGAACCAATGTCCAAGTCTCGTAAGAGCATTGTATCCCTGTACAAGATAGTAGCTACCTGTCACTCGAGCCATTGATGTGGACGGTTCTCATCAACTGCACATCGAAAACACAACCTGAATTTGTTGTATAGGACTGTCGCCATATCAGTGGACTCGTGTGAAGGTAGCTGCAGAAACACGTAGCTGCAGGAATAACTTATAGACTTGACACTCCCCTTATCTAAGCAGAGGCCTCCACCTCGGATATGAACATACGAAAATCGGGGAAATAAACTGCCACCCTGAAGCAGTGGGAGCCATCCTCCTGTGTGCATCCCAGGCCTACAGAGGCAGACCTGCATGGCAGCGACCCGATAGTGCGGTCCAAGTCATGCAAAAAAGGCGTCACTAGCCCCCAACGTAGAAGCTGCGCATCCAGCGACCCTAGTCCATGCCTGATTGATGCTCAATCTGCTGGTCGCGGAACAAGTCACTCATCACCTGGTCACACACAGCCGACTATTGGAGCCATGCTCCAATCCGTAATAGATAGGGTCGGCCATGCTCAGAGCTTTAGTCCCAAGCATGGCGCCTAATGGTACTGTACCTCAGCAATGGTCCGTCGGCTTCTAGAAAGCAAACCTCCACTGACTTACAGTAGCAATATGTAGGTAGCCAGATTCAGTAATCCCACCAGCCCCACACCGCCAGGATAGAACCTCGACGATGGCCACACTCACATCCCTATAACGGGCCTTGCTGTACCCGCGTCTCCCACAGTCTAGATACATACATACTTGTACAGATATCATCGAGTAGACTACCACCGTGCACGAGAGCTGCGAGCGAGTCATGGCTTCCTCCCCGAAGGCCGGAAGCCCCCATTCTCCTGATTCAGACTCCTACCCCGAGTCCGATATTATTCATCGAGCATGCGTTGGGTCTACCGACCACAGCAGCTAGAGGTGAACTAGCTCCCCATCCGAGAAGGGACATGCAGACGATGAATGCCCGTATGATATGGCTAGTCCCAGTAACGGTATATCACAGTGTGTGATCATTAGAAGGCCCTGTTATAGGCCTATGACCTAGCATGTGCACAATACCGAAGCGTTCCAGCAAGCATCAACAGGATTGGCCAGGGTTCCTCTCGTCTCAAACCTGGGATCAGACCTTCCGTTTTAAATGAGTACTGTACCTTACCTATCCCTGGCTCCGACTCCAGTGGGTTTAGTGGAGCCTCCATTTCTGACAACCCACAAATCAGCCGGAAGGGACTCGGCCTAGTTGGTTGGTCCTGAGTTGATGCTTTCAAATCGACTAGTTTAATGCTAAGGGATGAATGTGTGATTGTGTGTGCGTGTGTGCGTGAGGGGGTTTTATGTGAATTGAACTGGAGGAGGCAGATGCCAGGCAGTTCAGCGCCGCCGCAGCAATATAAGACCCAAGGGACCCCAAGAATTTGCCGAGACTTTTTGTGCAATCTGCTCTCGAAACGAGGGGCTTGAGACAACAGCAGTCATTGTCATCAGTCTGGATGTTTGCCTTTCAGACACAGTGATCCACCTGCCGCTTGTCACCATCGATGATTCGGTGAGAGAGCATTAGTCAAGTCACGCGCTAAGTCATCCGGAGCGAGTGGTCGCTTGTTCTTCTCCCAATGCGACCAAATCTATGAGCGAGAGAGAGAGAGAGTGTGTGTGTAGTTATCTAGAATGTAGCACGATCATCTCGTACATGCTCTGCTGTGAGGTCGAGAGGTTCATGGGGACCAGAGTTAAGTCAGTGGTCGTCCCAGTTGCTCGCTGAGTCAAGCGGTGATTATCACCGAGTAAAAGCGAGCCATGGGCCAGTCCAAGGAGAAAAGATCCACGTTGTTGATGTTGAGTTTGGTGGGGGAAAGGGGAATGTGGAAAAGAAAAAAAAAAGGGCCTGGCCCCCAATCCCATTGTGGCTGGTGGTTCCCAGTCCGATCACTGTCTGTTCTGAGCGGGCAGTAACTGCAACTCGATCGGCAAGAAATCCAGGGAAAACCGATCCGTTGAACTTCATGAAACTGACAACCTACCTAAGATGATGATAGAATCATGAAATCAACAAGAAGCGAAAGAGAGAAAGACAGAGGCGCCGCTCCCCACCACCTCGCATGATTCGTGGCAGACTTGATAGGAGGAAGGAGGAAAACGTGGTTGATTGGGATGCGGCTTGGTAAGGCGCCCAGACCTCGGGGGCGCTCGTTGGACCCTGGAATAGGATTGATAACAGTGAAGCAAACTGGAGGCGGTTTTGGAAAGGGTAAAACGGCGCTTATCCAAGACCTGTGATATGGTACCAAACTCTGAACCTTGAAGGCACATATGTATGCATGAGATTGTTTTGTTCGTACGTACAAGTAAGTACTGTACATGTAGGTACATAGGTACGAATCTGTAGTTGCCTCGCTTGACTCAATCCTGTACTGTACTGTTCCCAAACAGCCAAGTAACTACCAAGCTCAGCTTAGCTCAGCTCCAGGCTCAGCTACACAGAGAGCCCAGCCCAGGTCAATCCGACTCCGACTCCATGACTTCCAACCTTGAAAGTTTGCGTCAAGTCAAACCAACTGGCTTGCTTGGTTGACTGAAAACATCCAACAAATCACAAGTGCACGGGTGATTTCTCCGAAATGCACTTGTGTGACTTGAGTGGAGATTGATTCATTAATAGTTCTCTCTATTGACCCATTCGCAAGGAAAGCTGAGCGTCCAAGAAGACGATATGAAATTGATTCGAGTGCTCCAATACTTCTATCAGAACCCGTGGATGGATGTGTGCTTACGCGGCGCGTTGTCAGTGGTAACTTATCAAATTACCGGCACGACGATACCCTAAAACACAGCCGCGGCCGCGGAGAGAAACCATACGAATAGTCTAACCTATCGCTGAGCCCAGGGATTGACTACGATAGCCAGCCACTCTTCGCGCCAGGATCGCACGGCAGCAAGCAAGAATTGCCACACACCTCTTCCTCCACCAAGAAAAATGCATAATAGCAAGTCGATCTTATGGCTATCCTCTGCAGGAATTCAGTGTCTCAGCGCCAGCAGATAGTTTCTTTGGATGACCAGTCATCAACTCGAGGGGTTGAGGGGTGGTTATGTCCTGTTGCAGGATGGCAAAATCTCATGTCAGAAGCTTGACGAGGGGGCACAAAGGGCTAGATGACCCAAGACATGCGTGGCCGAACAAATTTTCTTGGATAATCTTAGTGGGGGCGGGGAAACAGGACGAACGGATTGAACAGTCCAGTCCGTCCAGCGCATCGCAGCAGCATGCAGCAAACCACCCACCCACCACCCACCATGGACCCGAGAGTCTGGGAAGCGGTGTAACGATCAACACGGGACAGTCGAGCCTACAAGCCTTAACTACATCGAGGTCACAAGGCAACCCCCCTCCGTCAATCGGACGCTGACCGGGGGACCCGGCGCCAAGCGGGCGGATAACGATGGGCTCCAGGCTGTCGACCACGGAGGACAAGAGCAAGAACCTGCATATCTTGCATATGTAAACTGTACGCACTGCCTCCATGCATCAAGCTTAAGCAGCTGCGGCAATCCAGAGGATGAGAGTGGCTTCCCGGCCTGTGCTCCCTGTTTCACATACATACATGGTACTTTGAATTCGTGTGTCTTACTACCCCGGACTGCAGGTCAGGCACCTCGATGAAAGTTCATGGCCCTGTGGTAGGCATACTTCGTACGAGTAATAAGCTTCCAGGGTGATCTGGCTATCACCTCCCCTCATCACCCCTCCCTGAAAGACTGGATGTAACCTTAACTAACCCTGTCCGTGATTAAACAACACTAGACACGTCGGGGGAGACTAGAATGACGAGATGCTGAAAGTCAAACTCTAAATCCACACAGGACTTTTGGCCATGGCCGTGGGGTCAGGATCCTTCCTTGAAGTTCCTTCCAGCCTGATCGTCATCGTCATTCCTTCGATATATCAGCACCACCGTGCTGGATCGGACTGACAAACATGAGTCAATTCTCCAGCAGAGCCCCTCCCGAGCATGTTGTCAGTTGCCACTTGAACCGTGAACCCGAGCACATCCTCGCTAAGAATGGGGAAGAGATCGACCCTGTGCTCCAGCTCGGAAGCGGATGCACGCAATGCCGTATAGACTAGGCTGATTCCCAACTCTGGCTGACAAGTTACAACCGTAGAAAAAAACTCCAATCCCATTTCCTGTGGACTAGTCAGTAAGTCAGTTGGTTAGTCAGTCGAGTCAGTGGATACGTAGTTGGCGTCTTTTTGGCTCGGGCGCTACGCTACCTAGTAAACTACGGGCGAAAGCTGGAAGAGGGAGACGCCCACGGCCGGAGCTGCGAGTTGAATCCTTCACCCAGCGATTTGGTAGACTAAATGCCGCGGTCTGTCTGACTGACGCCGCTGGCTGGGCCTGCCTGACCTGCCTGAGAATGCTGGCACCCAACCGCCAATCGGCCGGAGATATTGTTGC